TTGGCAAGTGAATCAGTGAACTGAGAGATAAAGACCCACTTTCAATGTGGGTGAGCACCATCCAATCAGCTGGGAACATAGGATGGACAAACAGGGAAGAGCAGTTTTGTTTCCTTTTTGCTTCCTCTTCTGGACCCTTCCTTCCAGAGCATGCTGTGTGCTTCATTGCTTCACTCCTGCTCCTCCACTGAGCCTTTGGTTGCTTTTGTTCCCACCAACTCCTGGATCCTGTTCCCCTCCAGTCAGAAAGACTCTTTAACCTTTGAACTCTGAACTCACATCAGTGACCACCTGAGGGTGTTGAGGTTTGCAGGCTCACAAATTCCCCCTTCAGGATTGAGATTAGAACTGAACAGCTTCCCTGCTTCAATCTTTTGGTTGTTTCTCTAGCTTGTGTACAGCTTGTCATGTGATCATGTGATAATTTTTATGCTATATCCCTTCTTTTACATATATCTTATCCCACTGGCTCTGTTTTTCTGGAGAACTCCGACTGATACCCTATAGATGTAGTCAAATTGTAAAAAGGAAAATAAGGGGCTTATGAACACAAGATTTAGAATGAGGCTCATCTCACATGGGGGCACAAGGTGAAGTGAGATAGGGGCTCATGTGGTTAGAAGAAAGTTGTTATCAAAGGTGTATCTTTTGTTTTGGGTGGTGGGTCAAGGATATTAAATACATCATTAAAACCAATGAAATATAAAAAACCAGGTGTTTTGCCAGGGTCATTAACAAGAACAGAAATTATGATTATTTTCATTCTGAGTACTTAAGGTACAACAAACAAACAACAAACCCAACCCTGGTAAGTATTGTGTAATCTAGTTATTCTGCCTCCTAGGTTGAAGAAGGGAAATGGCCTTGGCAGAGTGATGAGATCAGGTAGGTTTATCTTTGCTGCCTGCTCATTGGCAGACTTTGTGCCTCTTTTTATCTATCTCACAAGGTATAGAATGATTGACATTTGAAGTTGGAGAGGTTGTGAGCCTCCATTTATGTTTACTAATATTAAAGAGGAGGAAACCAAGAATATGAGAGGATATTGTCAAGCCTGGACAAGAATATATATTATATAATTCTTTGTCAATGTCTTTGTGGTTATGTAACCCATTGTAAGTCAGGGGACATCTGTATATTTTTGAAAGTGTAAGTAAAAGCTATCAATTCTTTCTCTCTTTAGGCACACGCGCACACACACACACACACACACACACACACACCACACATGCTGATTAGTTGCTTATTTGAATGTTTTAATGCAGGTAATATCAAACTTGGTAGGATATTTGTCACCCTCTTCCCCCACATTGTAGAACAGATGATGTCATTTAGGAGCACACTGTTCTGAGATACTACCTCTTCTTCATGGTATTCATGAAAGCATAATAAATATCTCTTGAAAAAGACAGGGCCAAAGTGTGCCAAACTTGTGCTGCATTTTTTTAAGTTTATGTATTTCTAGGTTTCATCAGGATGGAAGGAGAGGAGTCAGGTTTTTACATTTGATGGAAACTGAGAAATAGTTTTCTCATTTTGTTAATAAGGCAGCCATAGAGGGCTGAGATATCATGGGATAGTCTGGGTGTCTCTGTTCATTTAGGCTGCTATAACAAAATGCCATAAACTGATGGCTTATAAGCAATAGGAATTAATTTCTCACAGTTCTGGTGGCTGAAAAGCCCAAGGTCAAGGGCCAGGTTTTGGTATCTGGTGTGGGCCTGCTTCTTGGTTCATAGATGGCTGTCTTGGAAGAGGAGAGAGGGATTTCTCTGGTTTCTTTTCTATGAGATCAATAACCCCATTTATGAGGGCTCTGCCTTCATGACCCTATTACCCGCCCAAAGATCCCACTCCTAATACCATCAATTTGAGTTAAGATATCTTTGTTTGTTTAGTTTTTTGCTGTAGGGTATGTGCACTTACCAGAGAGAGAGAAAGAGAGAGAGAGGGAAAGTGAGAAATGACCCCCCAGGGGGATAGCCACACCACAGTCCCTTCTATTTCACTTTTTTCTCAGAATTTTGGGCACACATGCACAAGTGCCTGGCATGATTTTCAAGCCACCAGATATGGGACTTGAAATGTGCAGTTGGCCATGTGTGAATCATCACCTAACCTCCACACTACCTGCTGGCCCGGGATTAAAATTTTAATATGTAAATTTGGAGGGGGGCAGAGATACAAACATTCAGGTTATAGTCCTGGGTATATTTCTATTTAATTATGGGAAGGATAATGGACTGACTTTCCATGGGTGATTAGTTTCATGTTTCAACTTGGTTAGGCAGGGGTACTCATTTATTTGGTCAAAAACTAATCTAAGTATTTCCGTGAAGATATTTTTTAGATTGGTTCACATGTATAATCAGCTGACTTCAAGTAAAGGAGATTATCCTTGGTTATGTGCATGGGCCTCGCCCAATCAATTGTAGGCCTTACAAGCAAAACATGAGATTTCTAGGAGAGCAAGAAACTCTACTTCAGGACTGTGATGTGGCTCCCGTCGAGTTTCCAGTCTGCCAGCCTGCCCTGTAGATTTAGAACCTGCCAGCCCTCACAACTGTGTGAGATGATTCCTTAAAATATATCTCTTATCTGTGCATAAGTATATGCACACATGTGCACATACTTGTGTACACACTAGGCACATAAATACATATATCTCATATATATATACACACACACATACATATGTATATACAGACATGTGTGTATATGCACACACACACACACACATCCTATTCATTCTATTTCTCTGGAGAATACTGACTAATATACTTTCCTTGCAAGTGAAAGAGTACTGAGGAATTGGAGTTGCTCTGGCTCTTCCATTAATGGAGTTGGGTGAAAGTGAAAAGCACCCCTTGAGGGCAAGAACTACACTTTCC